ACGGGCACCTTGAGCTTGCCCTCGGCCCCCCGGCCCCCGGCGCCCCCGGAGCCGCGCGCCGAGGGAGGAGGGCGGGCGGGCGCGGCGGGCCGGGCCGGCGGGCGGCGGACTATGAGGCGCCCACCATGGTGCGATGCGACCGCGGGCTGCAGATGCTGCTGACCACGGCCGGAGCCTTCGCCGCCTTCTCGCTCATGGCCATCGCCATCGGCACCGACTACTGGCTGTACTCCAGCGCGCACATCTGCAACGGCACCAACCTGACCATGGACGACGGGCCCCCGCCCCGCCGCGCCCGCGGCGACCTCACCCACTCGGGACTGTGGCGGGTGTGTTGCATCGAAGGTACGACCCCTGCCCCAGCGCACACACCTACACGCACGCATCACCCCGGGGGAGTGGGCCGGGGGAGGGATGGGCGCGGCGCAGGCTCCACGCGAGACACAAAGAACCTGATACCGGGAGGGTGGGTCCCCGAGTGGACACGGGCGCAGCAGCCTCGGGTTCCTCCAGGCTGGGGACCTCCCCAACACACGGATCCCACAAACTCTCGACTCGCACGCGCACACCCCCTCGCGCACAGACACAATGAAACACACAGAAACTCACGCACGCGCGCGCCACCCCAGAGCAGAGCGATCCCCAGGGGCCTCGCCGGCGCCCCTGGGGGAGGTGGAGGCTGGCGTGGGGGCGGGAGGAGTCTAGGGTTGGAGGGGGGGAGCGGACGCGGGAGGAGGGGGAGGGGTTGCTTGGCAACCGGTGTCTGTGCGATTGCTATGGGAACTGGCCATCCTGGGGCGGGGCCGACCGGGGGCAGGGAGCCCCGGGGCAGCTAGGAGCTCCCTCCAAGCCCCCAACTGAGGGTGTGAGGGCGGGCTACAGGTTGGGCTCCAAGTGGGTCTGGGGGCGCCAGGTAGCTCCAACCGCACGCCCTTCTGGTATTCCGTGAGGCCACAGACTCACTCCTCCCTGCGCGATGGGGACGGAGAGGGGCGCCACACCGCGTCTCCCTTAACTAAAGCAGCGAGCCCTGGACATCACTGCCCCTCAGCAAGAAGGCTGCCAGATACCCTCATAGGAACCACGCTGGGGAGCGTAGGCCAACCGTGAGCCCAGAGTGGGCTGGGAGGGGCGTGGCCGCTGTCAGGGCAGGGCGGGGCCCCACGACCCCCTGGACGCAGAGACTTGAGAGGTGGGCCAAGGATGAAAGGCGCCGAGAGGTCGGGATTGGGTCCCCTGGATTCTGGGGACAGCTCCAGGAGCGCGGTGCAGTAGGCTTCTTAGCCCTCCTGGCGCCGGCATGCCCAACTGTGAAACTCGAACTAACAGGTGTCTACAGAGGGGCGGTTTGGTTCTGCCAGGTTGTAGTCATGTTGGCTACTTGGTCCTGGCTCTGAGACTGGGGACAGAACGGGGGAGGGGGGGTGTTGGCGATGTTGCTTGAATTTTCCAAAAACCCTCGGATAGCGTTTCTTTCTTTTCCCCATTACCTTTTCTCTTGTGTTCCGCTCTGCCCCAGGGGAAATTCTTCCACCCTCTCCTCCCCCCTGCTGCTACAACACTTAAGTGCGGTGGCTTGTGATAGGAGGTTGGGGACCGGCTCTTAGAAAGAGAGCCCTTCCTGCTTTGGAGTCATCTGAAAGGAGGCTCTGTGAGGCTTTCCTTAGTGACACCCCCCTGTGTCCCCACCAGACCCTGGACTCCTGTCCACCTCTGTCCCTGGGCTCGGGCTCCAGATCAGGGCTGCTTGTGCACTTTGGAGCTTCGTGTCAGGGCTCTGAGCAGTCTGTAGATGACAGGAGTGCGAGATCAACAGTTAAGAGGGAGGGCACGCCTCACAAAGGAACTGGTGGGCCCACGGTGACAGCCCCCTCTTTTCTTCTGAAAAACATCATTTTGGGCATGCAGTTGCTCAGATCGTGCACACCTACACTTCTCATCTGGAGAATGCACCCACGTCACTACCTGCCACAGCACCTGAGTTAGAGAGGCAGAGCAAGGGCTGCACGGCTGTGCTCTACCTCTCAGGCTCCACTGGATGCCATGCGTGGCAGAGGGCATCATGCCACCATCACCCACCACCCCAAGAAACCCATGGAGCCGGGACCTTCCCCGTTTCCCAGGGGAAACTTGATCGCCAGCGAGCCTGGCTGCATGGTGACTCCAATGCCTTCTTTATTAATTCCTCATCCTAATTAGGATTGATGCTGCACTTAGCATCTTGCCAGCTGCCTGGAGCCGTTTGAACTCGCTGTTCATCACGAGAGCCCCGAGCCGATCAGGGCAGCTGGCTCGCCTGGCGGAGGGAGCCATCTGGGGGACTTCATGGAAAGAACTAGGCTGCCTCTGTTACTCCCCACAGCTCAGGGGCTTTCTGAGGGACCAGCAGGCTGTACCTACCTCCCAGGGCCAGAGCATCCTCCTGAGACCCAGGGCTGTGAGAGTTGGTTCAAGATTACTTGTCCGGTGCTCAAATCCATCACCGGGTAGGAACTGCCAGCTTTTCTCACAACACAGCAAGGAGGCTGACACCTCCCGGAGCCACTGAAAGCCTGCTGTGACGCCAGCCAGCACGTGGACAAGGGCTGAGACCAGGACAGCTCAGTTAACCTCCGGCCACCCCCCTCCCCCAGAAACAGCAAGAGGTGTTTTGGGGGGAGGGGGCTCTACTTCTTTATTAGCCTTTATGGGCAAAATGCACTATTTCTTCCTGTTTTCTAGCAACTCCCCCAGCACATAAGCCTCCCATCCGCACCCCCCCACACACACACAGACACACAAGCATGACATCTAAATTAAGAGGTGGAGGAGATGAAAAGACGAAACCTTTGGGTTAAAATGGACTGCCGCAGTGGGCAGTGGATAAATAGCTCAAGTGCAGCTCGAGAATCTGATGGGTTTGCTGGCGACTCGAGAACGGCCAGTTCCATTTTCTGCGCATTTCCCGTGTGCCCCTTGGAGCTGAAGAGCCCAACCCTCTATGCTGAGGTGTCCACAGACACACCTGACAGGGACCTTGGCTGTACCCCGCTCCAGTGGAGCTAACCTTGCCCCAGCCTCCCTCCACCCACCCGACTCCCCACTAGACGAATGTCAGAAGACTTGGGGTGCACAGTGCTCCCTGGCGGCTCACACAGCCCTGTGAGGTACCGCCCTCACCCCCATGTGCAAGCAAGAGAGTTCCGGGACTTGCCCAGAGGCACCAGGCCAGAGGCGGCTGGGCTAGATTTGAGCATCTAACACTACAAAGCTCTTCCCGCCATGTCACCTGCCCTTTCCCCCCAGTAGTTTCTGGGTGGCCATTTTTAAAAATAGAAGCAAGTGTTTGGCTACTCAGTAGAGCCCAGCTCTAAGGTTGGGTGGTTGGCAGGAAGGCGTTGGGAAGCGAGAATGTGTGACGGGTGCACGAATTGCATAACACACTCTTGGTGCGGGTCTCTTTCGGTCTCTCTAACTTCCGTCTCCATCTCTCTCCTCCCATGGTGCTCTGGACTAACTCGTCCCGCCAGTCATTCAGATGCCCGCTCTACCCAACCTTGACCCCACCATGCATCTCTTTGTCTATCTCTGGCCAAGGCCAGGGACAGAGGGAAGGGGAAACAAAGTCATTTCTGCCAGAGACGTTGGCTTAATCTCTTGCCATTTGGGAATGCGGAGGGTGCGAATCGTGTCCTCCTCAGAGACTGAAGTACTGTTTGGACATGGAAGGGAAAGACCCAGGGTGGGAGCATAGAACCATCTGCCGAGGCTCTGAGCCCACCGTGAACCCCAAAGCTCACACAGGCTGCTGAGGCCCAGAGCCCTGAGAGACCCAGGGCTGCCATCAGAGCAAAGCTGAGCCTTTATCAGCACACGGCCCTCCCCCTACCATGTCACCCATAGATGAAGCCGCCTCCAGCACACTCACGACTCTGTCAGAACCTTAACGAGACAGTCTTGACACGGGGGTGGGGCCCAAATGCTTTCTCTGTGGCAGCTCAGTGCTGGGCACTGGAAGGAGAAGGTGTAGAGAAGGTTCTAGAACCTAAGGATAGGCAAGTCCTTTGCCCTAATCACATTCACCTCCCTCAATTGGCCAGAATCATTCGCACTAGCGACCCCCAGCCTTCATTCCCACGATGGCACACAGATCATTATTATGTATTTCTTAGCGCTGTGCCCTGAGTGTGGGAAGGGAAGGGCCAGCTAGGTTAGGGGATCCAGCTATGCAAAGCCCTGACTGCCTGCCCACAGGTGGAAAGGGTGAGTACTCCTCGTAACCTCGGAGTTCTTTCACTCCAGGTGAGCTGAGAAGTGCAGCTCACTCAAGAGAGCCTGGGTAAGGGCGAGAGCTTTTCCATGGCAGCTGCAAGGCCCCGACATGAACATCGCCTTCTGTGTTTGTGTTTCTTAATCTTGCACTGCCCCACAGACAGCCCATCCAGCCTTGTCTAAGGTGGGTGGTAGTGGCCAGAGCAGGCTCTCCATCCCTACTGCTTTAAGGTGCCACCTTCCGGTCCCATGATCCCTCCGGGTTGATAATAGTCACCACTTACCGAAGACTTAGCTAGGTGTGTGTAATCGCTAGCAAACACTTTCAGGTAAATACTCATTCTCTGCCTTTCAGAGGCAGAGAAGCTGAGGTTCAAGGTGGGTGGAGCTCCTGTGTCAGGGCTGCCTTTCCCAGCCCACATCAGCTTCCATGTAGGCACCTGCTTTCCAGCAGCTATAGGATCCTTTATGTAAACCACTCAGGCTTGGGAAAGGGCGGCAAAGGGGCTGTTTTATATCGGCCAACCTAAAAGAACGTATTAAAAATGTGAGAGGCATTTAAACATTAGGCATCTTCTTCCCATCGTTCTGGAAGTCGGGAAGACCGAGGTGGAGAGGCTGGCTCCTGGGCTCCTGATGGCATGTTCTTCCTGACCTGCTGATGGCGGCTTGCCCAAGGAGGAGGCTGTTTGTGCAGTCCCTTCTATGGGAACTGATGCTACCGTGAGGACCCCTTCCTTATGGTCTCGTCTGTTTGTACTGCTGTCCACATTGACGATTTGGAGACCACCATATAAATTTAGTCCATGGTAGGGGTCCTTTTCTTTCCATATCCTGCCCAGCAGCTGGCGTTCACGCCCCAATCATTCACAGATTCCCCTCTCTCAACCACATATTTACAGACAACGCCAGGTGGCCTCCACCTCATCTCTCTGTGTCTCTCACCAGGATCTTAAGTAGCCGAGGCTGGCCTTGAACTCAATATCGTAAGGTGATCTTGAACCCCTGATCGTCTGGCCTCTGTTTCTGAGTGCCAGGATTGCAGACCTGCCCCATTTATGCAGGTCCTGGGGACTGAACCCAGGGCTCGGTGC